ACACATTTTGTTTTACGATTTTGATCGTAGTTATCACCATGTATCAGTGTTCTTACTTCTTCCTCTGGGCCCCTTTCTATTCATCCTTCTTCCCTCTCCCTTCCTGCCTTCTGAGCTTTTCCCCCAGCTGCCCTCTCCGGGCTGCCCTCTCGATCTGGTATGGTGGATGGTTCTAAGGAATACCTACCTTCCTGGTGTTTCTGTTTTCCTTATAGGCCTCTATTGTTGGCTGACAGTTGAGCCATTGGGGTGAGCTCAGTTTCAGGCTGAAATGTAACTTCAGACCATCGTCTCGGGGGTTCCACCAGGCTCCGTCTGATCATTTCCTTACTTAAAACAAAAGTATTGCTCCTGACACGATTCCAGCCCATGGTGACTCCGGCACATCCTCCTCGTCCTGCTGGCTGTGTGGGGGGGCCTCCTGGTCGGCTTGACCGAGAAGCTTCATTCTGGTCCTGGGTTGTAGAGCGAAAAGGGACAGCCTGACACGGTTCCGAGTTGGCCTCTGCTCCACCACGTGTGTCTGTGTGACCTCATTTATTTTTTTATTGTTGTAAACTTTTATTATGAATTGAGTTCAGATTTACAGATGTTTTCCATTCTATAATCCATACACATTATGTTTCCTGTCACTGATTGTAATCCCCACAACATAACATTGCTGTTCGGCTTCCTCTCTGTGATTCCTGTTTTCATTCCTCCATTCCTGTTCCTTCTGAACTTTGCCCTTTTGATCTCGAAAGGTTGGTTATTCTATGGAGTGTGTATCTACCTAGTATCACTGTTCCCCTTATAGGTCTATCTATCTATTGGAGTCCTGGTGTGGCACTGTAGACTCATGTGTCAGACTACAAAGTCGTTTGAACTGCAAGGTTGGCAGTTCAAGCTCACCAGCCACGCCTTGGAAACCCTATACAGGGTCGCTATGGGTCAGAATAGACTGGACGGCACTTCACAACAAAGCAACAGAATGTTGAGCCACGGGAATGGGTTCAGTTCCAGGCTTGCAGGGTGACTAAGGACCATTGTCTCCGACATGCCACTGGTCCCTCTTAGGCCATGTGCCTAGTCTTTTTTGAAGGGTAGGTAGCCGCTCCCGGAGGGTGTGGAGACGGGCATTTACAGACAGGGAAATTTTTGTTGTTGTTATGTGCCGTTGAGTCGGTTCCTACTTATAGCAACCCTGTATTGGGTTTCCAAGGATCAGCTGGTGAGCGTGAACCGCCGACCTTATGGTTCAAACCAACTTTGTGGTCCAGCGCATTCGCCCACAGTGCCGCCCTAGGAGCGCAGAGGTGAGCCAAAGGGATGGGCTAAGTCACAAGAAGCGTGTCAGGCTATCTGACCTCAATGCTGTCCTCCTCTTTGGGTTTCAGAAAGACGATGCTCAAAGTCTGCTCAAGCATTTGGAGTCTGGTGCGCAGACCCCCTCGGGACCAGGCTCCCCTTCTAGGAGGAGGAGGAGGAGAGAAGTTCAGGCATCAAAGGCCACTGGAGCACTGGAGGTAAGCTCTATGAGTGTACTCATCAGCCAGGGTGTGAACGGATGTCGACCGAGATTTCTCCCAATATCTGCCTTCTCTCTTTTTTCCCCAAAAACTCGTTTCAATAATTTATCTTATTCTGTTGTATTGAAAGTATACAGTTGAGCCTTGGGCACCACAGTCTTGACCCGCACACGTCCATTTATAGGTGGGTTTTGTTTATAACTGTCTGAGGCTGATAATCCCAGAGCGAGCAGTTCCTCTCTGCAGTCAATTTCATATTGAAATAAAAAGCGATCGTGTTGAGTACAATACTGTAAACCTTGAATAACAACACCAGGGAAACCACACGAGACACAAGTGATGTTGGGTATGTTCCCAAGAAGCAGAGAAATGTCCTGTCACAGAAGGAAAAAGGGGTGACTTGTTTACTGTGTGCTGTGGATCGAGGTCAGCAGCTATGATGCCCGCCACTTCAACGTAAATGAATTATAGCATAAGGAAAGACGGCTGTGAAACAGACAAGGAAATTCTCCAAGCTGTCCCTGCAGCTATGCGAGCAGGCACAAAAACCTCACACTTTTGGAAAGATACCTTTTTATCTCCTGTTGAAAATGCAGCTTTGATGTGGATGCAGTATGTAATGCCTTAATTTAAAAACAACAAACAAACACAGTCAGACCCAGTGCTGTCGAGTTAATTCTGACTCACGGAGACCCTATACAGAGTTTCGGAGGCTATAAACCTTTATGGGAGCAGACAGCCTCATCCTTCTTCTGAAGAGCAGATGGTGGATTTGAACTGCCAATCTTGATTTTCGCAGTCTAGTGCTTATCCTAGAGTACCACCAGGCTCCTATATAATACATGTAGCACATAAAATACGTATTAATTAACTGTTGATGTCATCGGTAAGGGTTCTGGCCAACAGTAAGCTATTAGCAGTTACGTTTTGGTGGGGTGGGGGTGCCGCAAAAGTTAAAATACGTGCAATTTCAACTGAGATTTAGTCTGTTTTGTTGTTCTTGAAAATAATACACAGCAAAAAATAAACCAATTCCATTCTCCACCTGTACAACGCATTTTTCAAGTTAGGCATCCATCCACAACCTTGTTTTCTAAATTGTTCTCCCTCCATTAATACAGACTCACTGCCCACTAAGATTTGATCCAGTCTCTGAAGTTACCGTTGTCAGCTTCATCTCAGATAGGTAACCCATAAAACAACATAATGTTCAACGCAGACTTTTTTACTAATGAAGTTGAGCTATCATTTGATTTTTAACTAGACTTCCAGAGATATTTTTGACTTAAGGTTTCAAGATGATAACAAGAGCCACAATCCCCCCTGTATACCCATCTATTGCTTGATTGAAAAGTGGGCCGTGAGGGTGAGTTCGATTCCAGACCTGAAGGGTGACCGAGGGCCATCACTTCAGAGTTCCTGCAGTTCCTATCTGACTGGGTAGCTGGGTCTTTTTTATGATTTTGAGTTTTGCTCCACATTTTCATCCACTCTTTCTGGAACCTTCCAGTATAATCCCTTTGAGAGCAGTTGGTAGTGGCAGCCGGGCACCATCTAGTTCTGGTCTAGGGTTGTGGAGATTGATGTTCACGTGATGGTCCATGAGTCCACTGGACTAATTGTCTCTGTCTATAATTCTCATCCCTTGTCCTTCTTCCGAACAGGGAGAGAACAATAGTTGTACCTTAGTGACTGCTCATGAGCTTTTACAACCCCAGTTGCTAACCCACCAAAGGAAGATATACAGCATTTGTAGCTCTGGTAGCATAGTGGTTACGAATTGGGCTGCGAACCTCAAGGTCACCAGTTCGAAACTACCTGCTGCTCCGTGGGAGAAAGATGAGGCTTTCTGCTCCTGTAAAGAGTTACAGCCTCGAAACCCTGTATAGGGTCGCTATGAGTCAGAACTGACTCCACGGCACATAACAACAACAACAACATTTGTGGACTAAATTAAGTTAGATGTATCTTAGGCTGGGTT